AGCAGTTAATAAGAGATTTTGTGCAGCGCTGAGATTTAAATCTCGCACCTACAATGTATAAAGCAAACCATTCACTGTAATAGAGTTCCGTTCGTTCACGTAGTTTTTTAACTGTTTCATAATGTCCATTTCGATAGTATAAATGAAGACTAAACCTACTGATGTAGGGGTAGAATAACGGTTTGAATTAAAACCTGATCAAATCTTTCAAAATGAGCTCTCTGAACAAAGAATAGCGTCTTACTGATTTAATACATCATCATCAGCCGTTTTTGATCCACTGTTGGATGAATGCCTCAAAGATTTAGTAGCCACAAAATTCTGTCGTACACCAATTTTTTCTACGTTGGTCGGATAAATTTCTTGATTTCCTACCACTGATTTGGAGCTCTTCATACGGGCTGCTCGATCGCTCTTGGAAGTCAGTCCCAGCGATTGTAATTTCTACCTGTAACGTGTCCCACCCACTGCCACTTCTTCTTCACTCGGATATTGACATCACAGATACTTGTCTGTGCATTTTTTCATTCATTTGTTTTTCTATCCTTTCTTGTTACTTCCAGCGTAAATGCTTGCATGCTACGTTACGTAGTTTACCGCTTATGAATAGCTTTCAAGCCCAAGGTCCAAATTTCGCACCCACAGGTTAGCACTGGGAGCACACACTTGTCGAAAATTTTTCACCTCAGGCACAAGGGAAGTTACCCTGACACGACATCGTAAATTTAAAACTTACAAACCGCCTCAGAAATATAACGTATAAAAAAAATACAGGTTACACGTTAAACTAAATGTACAAACCCCACTTAAGGCGGAGTGCTGATTCGGAAACGTTTACTTTGCCCTCAGGAAATATGTGAACCCATCCGCAATTGTTGAGCACCTCAAGGCAACGATCAATAGCCTTCTGATAGACTCCTTGGCCTCGGATGACTGGTATACAACGGCCGACTGAAAAGAATCTGAAACAACCGAAACTGAATTAAACTAAAACTTGTTCAAAAAGGTAAAAGACAAAAGAAAACTACTAGAGATTATCAGTAGCTCTTCACATTTTGAAAGCAAAGATTAGTAATAATTTTAAGTGCATCAGAATCACTTTTAACAGGACTACTGCTTGAATAACATCGCCAAAAAAGCTAGGTTTTAAGCACAAATAAATTTAGAAATCAAAGTAGCAATAAATAGTAAAACAGGAACAATGTTATGCAAAAAAATGAGGAGAAAACTATCGAACAACAGTGTCATAATTTAAAACAGAACCGGACTGTTTTTTAGGGTTACATAAGAGACGCAGTACCTAAACGTACGAGGCTAATACAGGTAAATCGATTATATCGCAATGGGAGTGACTGCGAACACTAAATGGCACTAATGCTCATTCGCTCATTCACAAATGAAACTTCGTCAGGCAGATTTAATTTGAAAATCAACGTAATAAAATAGAAAATCTCAAACCTTATATCAAGTAGCAACAAGCAAGGTTCAAAGTTTAAAGTTCACGAAAAAGCGATAATTGATTACTTCGAGAAAACCTTGTTTGTAAACAAGATCTCTTCAGCAGCAAGGGTCCATCGTTGCATCGACTGCTCAGTTAGGAAAAATTTCCAACTCAAAATTCCTAGAAATGATGCATTATATCTCACACAGAACAAGTTAAATAAAGCAAACAATAGAATCACAAAACAGCTTTAAACTAAGAATAAATAAATAAACAGAAATTTCGATCAGAAAGACTGAGGGCCGCTGTCCAAAATTAAGCAATAATAAAATATAGTCAAATTTTTCGGCCGAACGGAGGATAACATCTGCAAACGCCATTTAACCGACATAAACTATAACAAAACCAAGCAATATTTATAAATGGACAGCTACTTCTAGGTTTAGCGTATTTTATACCAAAAACCTCTGAAATTAATTTTTCTACTCCCTATCAGTAATGTGCCTGAGATTTTCCAGTGTAACGAAAAGAAAAGTTTCCAGGGATTGTGAAACTATGACAAGTGGAAATAAACCAAAAAATCTTCGGAATTCGTCGCAGTTTCATATTATTCTTGACAACTTCTCTTTAGTCTTTGCCCACTTTTTCTCCTTGTAGTAAATTAGTGTTTGGGCAACAATTTTCTATTGTACATGATAGGCCTTCTTTTCAGGTGACCTCATTAACGGAGCTTGCTTTTGGTGAGCTTTTCCGAAACTGATGCAATGCCTAGAGTGCTACTTATGAAGCTGCTTCGGATGTGGTCTTTTCTGCTGACACCACACATTCATCTGAGCATCCGCATTTCTACCAAGTTCAGCTGTTGCTCGTGTCTTGTCAGGGTAGACAAACGTTTCGCTCCGTAAAGAAGCACTGGTCTTACTCTCGTTTTGTACACCTTTCCTTTTAGTCTGATTGGCATCTTATTGTTGCACAGTACTCCGCTCACTTCTCTCCCTTTGAGTCAAGTTTTTTTCGACGAACTTCTTATTTCGCTGTCGATTTCCGCATTATCTTGCAGGATGGAATAAAGGTAGTTATATTCCTAGGTTTGAAGCAGCTTGCTCCCCGCTACTTTCATTGATTTGGTATGCAATTCACACTCCAAAACAAAAAATCATTTCATGTCGTAAGACATAAAAACATAAAGCAAAACTAAACTGGTTCCCTGTTTCTTATGCCTTTGCTCATACACAGATTCCTTTATTCACTCAGTCAGTCCTATCTTTATTGATCATTTCGTTTACAATTTCGTACCTTCTTTCATCATTAATTCATTCGTTTATTTGCTCTCTGATTCATTCGCTTATCATTTGTCTTTTATCCAGCCTTTTCAATCGCTCATTCGTGCTTAATTCAGTCATCCATTCATTTGCTCCCTTGATCCCGCCATGCAAAATGTCGTTTTAAAATCTCGTGCAGTACGAGCATCCTAATGCAGGCGACACGCTGGTAATGTCTACCCTAACTCTGCCTGCTCATTATCCAAATGAAACGGAGTTTACAGAGGATTTGGCGGGATTTTTCATTACGCATTACCTGGTAGGCGATTTCGTACTTTATTGACTGAAGCCTCAATCCGCTATTAGTTATGACGCCAACACAAAACTACACTTATAAAACACCGAATGCTTAATTCATAAAACTTCTTACCCCACATGAGAGGATCATCCAAGCATGAACGGTGATTAGCGACAGTGATTAATGGTTTGCTACTGTGGATACACTTGCAAAGAACTTCTCTGTTGAAAACTTTTGTGCTGTTACACCATTCTGAAGAGAAAAATTACTTTATTTAAGCGTCAAGCAAATCACAAGTCAATAAATTTCAATACTATAAATGTTTATAAAGTTTCATAAATGGAACTATGTCATACTGCTTTACAGGTTAAAGAAAGCATATATCATAAACTCACACACCATTCATTCCATTAACTACAGACTCGTAAAATGAACACAGAAAATAGTACGTACCCAACCAGATTTTGCTTAGGCATCCAACGACTGACAAAACCGCCCCACTTGTCAGTGACGGCTTTAAAAGAGAACGAATGTCTGAATGCATCGTTTCGCTCGATGGTTAACTTCGGCCACAAAACGGAGGCATATACATGCATATTTCAAAACTATTGTTAAGAGACTGATTATAATTTTTAATAAACAAACAGTTCTTTCAAACAGGATTAAAGTTTAGCACAACAATACGATCTTTAATTTGAAACTGTGCGATATATCCATGGTACAAAAAGGTCACACAACTAGGACAGAATACAGTAACATACAGCATTTGGTAGGGTATATTGGAATACGGTTTTGCAGAAACAACATTTACGGATGTGCATCATTACTTTGTATCAGCGGATCAAAAATAAGTATCCCAACCACGATAAGCAAGCAATAACCAGCATTAGTCGATTAAACAGTGGACTGATGTTATTCAAAAGTTATAAAAACATTACCATGTATATTGAAATTTGCCTAGGAAACACTACTCTGCAAGCTAATGAGTACTATAGGACTGGAAACGTGCATATAGCATGGTTGAGTAGAGCATAGCAATTGGCTTTGTACATTAAAATAGTCAAATTAGAGTTTAATGAAGGGTCATAACTAGTTATGTTGATTCATTTAAGAAGCAGCCTTATTCTGTATTATTTTGGTGAACATTCATTCATTACCTGGCGAGGCGCATTCGCTTGTCGAGGCATTCCAAGCACGAATGAAAGCCGCATACATCTGTTAGATTTTTTGTAAAAGCTGTTTATTCGTCGACGAGCCGTTGTTTCTCATGGCAGTATTCACAAAACCATTTGGACATTAATCGATGGAAACTTAAACACCCTGCTCGACCACACACTCATAAATCGCTAATGGTGCAGTCACGGAAGGTGCAAGCGTCAGCGCCCGCATTGAGTCTGTTGATCATTTAGTCGTGGTGGAACTTTGGAATGAAAGCGGCTGATTCGCGCGGACTTGATCAGGTTGAAACACATTGGATGCGGAACATTAGTGGGCTATAATAAAACCAAACAGCGCGGTTTGCTTATAAAACAATAATTGGTTATTCTAATGCCACCATTAGTTCCCACTCCAACAGTGGTGACATTTATGAAGCCTATGAAAACTTCAAGAAACTCGTCATTGCGTAAACAGTAAATAAGATAATAGCCAAATTGCTCTGAGTTATGGGAAAAAAACCCTAGCCTTTAGAGTGCAAAACATTCAGGCAAAGTTGTACTTGCAGAGCCTACTGCATTCTCGAAGGCAGCTTATCCTCACTTCATTCATGCATAGTCAACTATAGTTGCCAGCGGGACCTGGAATTTTGAATGCAGGGGGAAGTCGCGAAGATCAATAAGTCAATGGGGTTATTTACTCCGTGATAGTGGTTTAATAACGGTCTGCTTCGTTTATTCATCTAGTTGTTATTCAGTTTATTAATCTAACTTAGAACCAAACTATCTACATTCCAGTCTAAGCATGATTCAACCAAGAAAGCAAAGCGACATGCTCAATATTTGTGCACTTATCCAAAAACGGACGAGTACTTGCAACTTAATGATTAACGAATGGCTAGAAAGGATACGATTTTCGTAGCTGTATTCTGAACGGTAATCGACCGATGGTAAAAGACTCCTGTACGACTAAGCAAGTAAACAGCATATATGTCAAGTATGTCGGTAAGATATCTGGCTGCATATAATAAATAAAAATTTATTCTATTACGCAAGATGGAAAATTTTTTCGGACGAGAAAATTTAACAACAAGGGCAGTATTGCAGCTCAAGAGTTACTGCGAAACAACTTGACAAATTTCTTTCTGTCTTAACAGCATGCATTATTCGTGAACGCATCATTTTTTTAAACGGACGCAATATATTATTATATTTTACAGCAATTTAACAATTCGCTCATTTTGCTATAGATGTACTGAATCTGACGCATTGAAAAAGTTGAGGAACGAGACAAATGAGACGTTTCACCATTAGTCAGTTATTTTTCGAAAGGTAAATATTTGATCAGAGTATAGGTATTTAGTTGGAAGGTCTCTATGGCAAAGGCGAAATTATGCAGGCAGTCAGCTGCCTACAACATTATCTCCAGAAATAATTCCGGCAGTTGACAACATCATGATACAGGAACATTTGGAATACTTGGACAACCTTCTTTATTTAATGATAAGAACAACTACTTAGCTGTCTCACTGCTACAGAGAGACAGTTTAAAGGACATATGTGATGAAAGAGTTCGTTAAACTTTTCTATTATTCAAGTATCACAGTGTTTAACTAAAGGGATTCGCTAATCTCAACTGGCATTCATAAAAGCACAATGCGACAGAGTTTTAAAATCGTTTTGTT